AGTAAGTCATATTGTTTTCGCCGATTCTGATTGGGACATCCACCCACTCATATCCTGCTCCCTCTTCTAAAGAAATCATCATCTGTTGCTAGAAATAAACCAATTTCGATATATTAAAATTCAGCCTAACACAATAGACCTCAGCACGAGGCTCTGGGGAATAAACTCACAAACTCTGCAGTTATTCCCCAGCCTCGTACTGAGGTCTATTGTTTTACGCTGAATTTTAATATATCGAAATTGGTCTTTTGAGAACTGAAAGAGCGTTGTTTAATTTTCATTTGAAGTTTGTAAACAAAACAAAACAAAACAAAAAATCCCAGATGACAACCAAAAGTTCATCCGCCAGTATTCAGTGCAGTGTTTAAACTATCCCTGAACAAAAACAAACACAAAACTTTGAAGTGTACATTCGAGGTTAAAAATGTCAAAAGTATAAAGGAAGAGGGTTAATGCCGTCCTTGAAAGGAACAAGAAACAAAATATCACTCAAGCTATCGCCAGAAACAAAAAAACAGAGGACTAACCAGCGCCTTTGCAGTACAACTTTATTTGGTCACCTTGCCGGACAATAACCTAAAAACAATACGAAAACCAAACGTGGTATTTCTCTTTAGTGTAGACCTTTGCAACCAAATGTGAACCAAACTACAAAAGTTTTTTTTTCCTCCGTAATCGTTGTTTAACAATCACCTTTTTAAAATGATTGGAATTACACTCTGGTAACCAAGCTTTTATTGCACCGAGAAAACCTACGAGTTTCAGTGCTCAGGATGATGACATCTCGGGAAAAAAAAATTTCGTTCAGGGGTGTGTAGGGTTACACTTGGACAAACTAAACTCATTTGCATTTGGTGTTATGTGTTATAATCCACTGGCAATTTTTCTATTTCGCGCTTCGCGTCAAAACACCAAATGGAAATTAGTTTAACACCCAAGTTCAATAAAAGCTTGTTTACTCAAGTGTTGTTCAAGCTTTATTTAATTCTCCTCCGGGGAGAGGGGAGGGGGGTACTCCCAGAAACATTAGGTGGGGGTGTGCGGCCCACTTCCCAAAATCTTTACCCTATTTATGACCAAAATCTGCGATTTTCCCTACCCTACCCTATTTATGACCAGACTAAAAATTTGATACCCTATTGATGACCGTTGCAGCTGACACAGTTG